ATGCAGGAGGGGGGCCGGGGGGACCCGCCCCCGGCCAGCCGCAGTCATGAACTCCAACGTGGAGAACCTGCCACCCCACATCATCCGCCTGGTGTACAAAGAGGTGAAGACTCTGACCATGGACCCTCCCGATGGCATCAAGGTCTTTCCCAACGAAGAGGACCTCACGGACCTGCAGGTCACCATCGAGGGCCCTGAGGGGACCCCATATGCCGGAGGCCTGTTCCTTATGAAACTCCTGCTGGGGAAGGACTTTCCTGCCTCCCCGCCCAAGGGCTACTTCCTGACCAAGATCTTCCACCCGAACGTGGGCGCCAACGGCGAGATCTGCGTCAACGTGCTCAAGAGGGACTGGACGGCTGAGCTGGGCATCCGGCAGGTGCTGCTGACCATCAAGTGCCTGCTGATCCACCCCGAGTCCGCCCTCAACGAGGAGGCAGGCCACCTGCTCTTGGAGAACTACGAGGAGTATGCGGCCCGCCTGCTCACCGAGATCCACGGGGGAGCCCATATTCTCTTGAATTAATAAATCTTCACTATGAGGATAGCCCTGAGGCTACAGCAGTGACCTATCATTACCACTTCATCAGACTAAAGAGCTGTGTCCAAACACCAGGGGGAGTGACTGAAATATGTCCAGTGGATAAAGAAGTGCCCTCAAAATGGCTACAATAAAAGATACAGCCCTAACCGGTTTGGCTCAGTGGATAGCGCGTCGGTCTGTGGACTGAAGGGTCCCAGGTTCGATTCCGGTCAAGGGCATGTACCTTGGTTGCGGGCACATCCCCAGTAGAGGTTGTGCAGGAGGCAGCTGATCGATGTTTCTCTCTCTTTGATGTTTCTATCTATACCTCTCCCTTCCTCGCTGTAAAAAAATCAATAAAATCTAAATTTTTTTTTAAAAAAAGATACAGTGCATGAGGGTACTGTGGGTTAGATACATCCCTAAAAGGCTGCACTGTACAGGATAGAGAAAGCAACATGTCCTATTGATACTGGGGAAGGGCACGTAATAAGAACAGAGCCACAGCTGTCTAATAATCTTTCACCTTACTAGATATACATAAGTTTGCTTACACACCCTGGGAAACTGGAGGACAAAACAAGGCTGTGAAAAGATAAGATGCCTCCATGGGTCCGTTACTCAGAAAAGAAATACATTTTGAGAACAGACCAAGGATAGGTAGGGCACGTTTTGATTAGGTTGCTGTGCCTAGACTCTGACCCCTCCGGGAGTTTTCTCAGGAATGCTGACTATTCTCCAGTCCCAAGAAGGGGCTGAGTTGTTTGTAACATCTCAGAAGATTAGCCAACTTACTATAGGACTTTGAGCTCCCGAAGGCAGAACTGCAGACCCTCCCCTTTCCGTGTTACACTTGCAGCTCTCAGCTGCACATAGCTATCTTGTCCATCCCTCCGCTATGCTCCAGCCACATCCACCAGCCAATCAGAGTGACTATGCAAATTAACCCGACAAAGATGGAAGTTAATTTGCATGCACAGGTGTCAAGTGCCCCAGGAGGTGACGATGGCTGTGGCCCCGGGCTCCCGGGACCATTGCTGGCCCTGGAGGCGAGGCCTGCCATGCCAAGCCACGCCCATGGGCTCCCAGGACCTTGCCAGCAGAGAGCAGAGCGGGAGAGGAGCGGGTGGATAGGGCACGTTTTGATTAGGTTGCTGTGCCTAGACTCTGACCCCTCCGGGAGTTTTCTCAGGAATGCTGACTATTCTCCAGTCCCAAGAAGGGGCTGAGTTGTTTGTAACATCTCAGAAGATTAGCCAACTTACTATAGGACTTTGAGCTCCCGAAGGCAGAACTGCAGACCCTCCCCTTTCCGTGTTACACTTGCAGCTCTCAGCTGCACATAGCTATCTTGTCCCTCATCATATATAATAAAAGAGAAACATGCAAATTAACCATCCCTCCACTATGCTCAAGCCACGTCCACCAGCCAATCAGTGACTATGCAAATTAACCCGTCAAAGATGGTTAATTTGCATGCACAGGTGTCAAGTGCCCCAGGAGGCGACGGTGGCTGTGGCCCCGGGCTCCCGGGACCATTGCCGGCCCTGGAGGCGAGGCCTGCCATGCCAACCCACGCCCATGGGCTCCCAGGACCTTGCCAGCAGAGAGCAGAGCGGGAGAGGAGCGGGTGGAGAGCGGGAGGTTTAGAGGACTTGGCAGAGCAGGAGACTGCTGGTCATAGAGCAGAGCGAGAGAGAGGGCAGCTTGGAGGGCGCGGCTCCCTCTGTCACCCCAGCTTCCTCATCACAGCTGTGGAAACCGCCAACAGGGAGGAGGAAGTCCCACTCCCACAGAATCAGCCTTTGGTCAGACAGCTCTCAGCAGCCTGACAGGCAGGACTCTCATTCACCTGCATCTCAGACCATGACAGTAGAGAGGTGGGACTATGTCTAAAGAACAACTATTGCCGAAACCGGTTTGGCTCACTGGATAGAGCGTCAGCCTGCAGACTGAAAGGTCCCAGGTTCGATTCCGGTCAAGGGCATGTACCTTGGTTGCGGGCACATCCCCAGTAGGAGATGTGCAAGAAGCAGCTGATCGATGTTTCTCTCTCATCGATGTTTCTAACTATCTATCTCTCTCCCTTCCTCTCTGTAAAAAATCAATAAAATATATTTTAAAAAAAAAAAAGAACAACTATTCATACAACGTAGCCCTGCAGCTGAAAAAAGCCTGCGTTATCGACATAAAATGTCTGCAGAACAGCATGCGTCTGATCTTGAAAGAAGGCGGCACCTAGACAGAATGTATCTGAACACCAGCTACTGGAAAAACATCGCTCTGATGCCAAAAAACACCAGCGTTGTTCACAGACAATGTCTAAAGACCAACGTGCCTTTGAACTTGAAAGAAGGAGGTGGCGACAACAGAATATGTCTAAAGAACAGTCATCAACAAGTACTACCGATACCGGTAGGAACTGCCTTCTCAGCGAAAATGGAGGACATGAGGATGCAGCTCTCGAACACAGCTGTGGTGGGATGACTGTTCGATGTGAATTCTGCTATCACTAAATTTCTCTGATGAAAAACCATC